TGGCTCATTCTGCCAGATGTCCTGCATGTAATACACTGGATCTTAATCCCTGCCATACTGACCCTCAAAAAGAGAAGAAATGTAGGCTAGGCATTAATTTCAGGTCCTTCTCTGTCTCCTATCCCACATACCCATACATCTTTTTATGGGCCAAGAGTTTAGTTTTAGCCTATCTTGAAACTTAAAGACAAAGTTCAGTCCATTTCTGCCAACTTACTATAACTGCTTACGACTATCCATCACACCTCAAATACACATCTATTTGTTCTTTGCCTCTCTTCTTGTCTTAATAAAGACAGTTAAGTATGTGTGTAGGTGGAAAGGTGCTCAGTACACTAAGACAGGACTAGTAGTGGCAAAAATTCAAAATATTTTCGTTTTCTTTGGTATTATCCCTTTCAGTGCTCTTCTCCTAACTCATCCTCTGGGAAACCATCCTCTCCCTTTCTCCTGCTACTTTCTCAGAAATAATTTCTGTCTATTCCCTCATGGTGCACTGTGTCCATATTCCAAGTTTTTCCTACTTATCTCAAATCCCTTTTGTGCTAGGTGTTAGGAATGCAAGCTATATACATCACGCTCTTACAGCAGACTGAGATACAGACCAGCTGTTTGTATTTCACTAATTGACTCACCTGCACCTCTCCCCCATTCCTTCTCTTCTCACCAGCTGCCACTTTTAACTATGGCTTTCAATGTTCTTTGGGGCAGATTTTGTTGCTTTGTTGGTTTGTTGGTTTCATTTGGCTTCTGTTATTAGAGAAAGAGATGATCAGACACAGCAAACCCACAAAACCTATCCATTTTGATTTTCTTCCTGGAGTCCCTATACTCTCAGTCATTTTGTGCTTTTGAATATTAGGTCCCTCTGGCCAGCTTGTAAAACAAAACTAGTAGGAAAGAGGAGGAGGCTTCTTGAGGGGCCTCAACTTCTCCCATCTCCCAGCATACACTTTTTTTTTTAAGTTTTTATTTATTTGTTTTGAGAGAAAGAGACAGAATGAGCAAGTGGTGTAGGGGTAGAGAGAGGGAGAAGGAGAGAGAGAATCCCAAGCAGGTTCCATGCTGTCAGTGTGGACCTGATACAGGGCTTGAACCCACAAACCTCTGAGATCATGACCTGAGCAGAAACCAAGAGTCGGATGCTTAACTGACTGAGCCACCCAGGTGTCCCGCCCAGCATACACTTTCTGAAACCTTGGCCCACAAGTGGTTGGTCTGCTCTACTGACATAATCCTCACTATTTTCATGTATACAAATTAATGTTTATGCCAAATTACTGTGCAATTTAATGAGCAACATACATACTTTAAAATGCATGTCCTACTTTTTTGTTGTAGTTATATCTCAATATTAAGCTCCACACACTGTCAGCCTTTACAGTCTATGGCAGGTGGCAATCCACTCACAACCCACAATTTGAGCAAACCCCAAGATGGAGCTGGAGGACTCTTCTTCATCCATCCATCTGGTTACCCTGCGTTTGGAAGCTTGTTTCAGATGACGACCCCGTGAGAATCCAGGATTTCCTGGAGTTTCCAGGGTGCCCTGATGAAGATGTGGTAGGTGTTGGTGTAGAAATTTAAATGATCTGTCATCTCCTGTATGATGTGGAGAATAGAGCAGGGGAGGTGTGAAGTAACTGTCACTTCTCCCTCACTCCACATCTATGGATCCAGACCTGTCCTTGTCCATTAGGTCACAGAGCCAGGATTTCAAACAAAATGAATGTGAGGAGATTAAAGAGAAAAGGCTCTGTCCATGGAGGCAGTGTGTCCACTCTTATGTCCAGAGACCCTAAAACACTGCTTGGCACATAGTAGGCATGCAATAGGTATTTGTTTTAAAAAAAAACTTGAAACATTTGCACTAATAATAGTGCATTGAGTGCTTGTTATGTACTAGGCACTGTGTTGAGCAAACAATGTCTGGAGGAGGCTGATTCCCATTTCACATCTGAGAAAATTGAGACACAGAAGGGATTTAAAGTACTAGCCCAGGGCTTGTAAATATGTCTAAAACCCACTGGTCTGACTAGAACTCTCCTCAATACTGCTATTTCCATGTCAGCTCTGGGAGCTGATTTCCTTCCATCTCTTGAAACAAACTCCTTCCATTCTTTCCATGAGAATCATCTCTTCTCTCATGGTTGCCTGTTTCCCAACATCTTTTCCTCTAACTATTTTCTAATTTCCAAGTAATGTTGAATTTCCTGAAACTGTCCTATAAATGCCTTAACCCTGGGTTTGTCCATTCAAGGGGATTTTTAATAATGGGTCATTTTCACTGTGTGCATGGGCTTTGGAGCTTGGCCATCACATAAATTGTGATAGAGATTTTCACTAAAACTATAGCTAACACCACTGTATGGTATAGGAGAAAGTTGTTAAGATAGTAAACCCTAAAATTTCTCATCACAAGAAAAATTACATCCTTTTCTTTACCTTTTTCTTTTTGTATCTCTGTGAGATGATGGATGTTAATAAAACTTACTGTGGTAATCATTTCACAATATAGGTAAGCCATTCATTTTCTACACACCCTAAACTTATATGGTACTGTGAGTTAATTATATCTCAAAAAAACTAGGGGAAAAAAGTTAAACAGAACTACTGAAGATCCAGCAGTTTCACTTCTAGTATGAACCCATACCTCAGCTCATTTGTCAGTGTTTATTAAGTCTTAGCCATTTGTTATATACCCCAAAGAACTGAAAGCAGGAATTCAAACAGATAATTTGTAACACCCATGTTCATAGCAGCATGAGTCACAATGGCCAAAAGGTGCAAACAACCCAAATAAATAACCATCAACAGAGGAATGATAAACAAAATGTGGTATATACATACAATGGAATATCATATAGGCATAAAAGGAATGAAGTTTTGATGGATGCTACAACATGGATAGACTTTGAAAGCATTGTTAAGTAAAATAAGCCAGACACGGAAGGACAGATGTTGTACAATTCCACTTATATGTGGTATCTAGAACAGGCAAATTAATAAAGACTGAAAGTAGAATAAAGTTTACCAGGAGCTGGGGGACAAGGAAATGGGATGTTATTGTTTAATGGGTCCAGAGCTCATGATGAAGATGATGAAAAATTTTGGTGTAGGTAGTGGTGATGGTTAACATTGTGACTATATTTAAGGCCACTGCATACTTTCCAATTACAGATAAGAAAACAGACAGTGGACAGGAATCCATATGTCAGCTTATTTGTCAGTGTTTATTAAGCCTTAGCCATTTGTCATAGGTGATAGCCCAGAGGTTAAGAGTACCAGCTTGGGAGCCACACAAACTGAATTCAGTTCCTGAATTGGCTATTATAGTTGGGTGGCCTGAGCCTTAGACAAAGATGTAACACTCTCTAGTGTGGTTTTCTCTTCTGTTTTTTTTTTTTTTAATTTTTTTTTTAGTTTTGAGGAGGGGGGAGGGGCAGAGAGAGAGAGAGGGAGAGAGAGAGAATCCCAAGCAGGCTCCATGCTGTCAGTGCAGAGCCCAACGTGGGGATTGATCACGTGAACTGCGAACACTTAACCAACTGAGCCACCCAGGCGCCCCCTGCTTTTCTCTTCTGCAGTAACCATGCCTGCCTCTCAGAGCAGTTGTGAGCGCCAAATGAGTTAAAGTGTGCCAAGCACGTAGAATGCAGCCTGGAACCTGTTAAGTAGGATCTAGATATAAGCTATTATTAGCATGTGCCCTTTCTCCCTCATTTTATTGTGTCTCTGATTCCTTTGACACTGTCTTGAATAAGAGCTTTCTACTTTCTGTTCTACAGCCAAGATGAGTTGTGGCTGCCACAGAGATCGATTACAAGGAAGGACCCAGTCAGTCCTGGAGTGTAAATTAGGGCAGGAAAAGTGGTGTCCAGAAGGAATCTGAATTCCTAAGGTGTTACCTTAGTGTATAGGTAGGGTGGCTGGAAGCCTATCTCTGCTCAGAGAATGCTGCTCATGGAGTCACAGGGGCTGTTAAGGCCTTTGTCTATTGTTAATGTGTGACTGTATCATTTTTTACCAACCTGGGTGGGCATCTATTTTCAAGCACTAAGGGCATTTTCAAGATGAAGATGTTGGTTCTTTTTTACTTAGATTTAAGTAAACATTATCTGTGGTGCCTTCGTCCCCAAATCCCTTATATGAATGGGCCCTGCATATCAATGTTTGTACATGGCCTTGACCTCTAAGTCATAGTTGATAGAATTTTTGATAGACACAGGGTTCAAACTAGAGTAAGTTCTCCCATGAATATGGACCTAAGATATACAAATGCTAGTCAGTCTCTGACTGAGAACATATGAGTTCTGAACGTATGTGGTGACTTTGCTCATAGAGTAACATAAACCTGACACTCATATATGGTAGACTGGATAATGACCCCCAATGATAGCAGCTCCTAATGCCTAGAAGCTTCAAATGTTAAATTATATTGTAATAAGGACTTTGCTGATGTGATCAAATAAAGATCTTGAGATGGGAAGACTATCCTGACTTACCCAAGTGGGTTCTGAGTTTACTGACAAGTGTCCTTGTGAGAGGGACATGGAAAGAGATGAAGGGTACAGGGGGAAAACAGAAATAGTGGGAGCAAAGGGATGCCAGACCACAGCCAAGGCATGAGGGCAGCTTATTCAAGCTGGAAAAGACCAGAAAATGGATTCTCCCCTCCAAACTCCAGAAGGTACTGACCTTGCTGACACTTCGATTTCCCAACAACAATAGGAAACCAATACAGGACAGAAAAGTCGTATTGAAAATATGAAGTTAAGACACACAAGTCAACCTACCCAGCCCCTGTGATTAAAAGCCAATCAGAAAACCAAATGTTCACTGATGGCTACATAATTTAATTCAGTAAAATATCTCAAAACTCTTGAGAGGGCACCCAGGATCAAAAGCTGAGGGCTTTTCAAGGGTCCTTTGGAAAACTTTGTCAGAGGAAGGGGAGAATACCAAAGGAGACACTTCTCAAAACAGTCTTTTTATTCTTAAACATAGAAGCATGAAAAAGTAGTAGACTTTCATGAAAGAAGACTTCAAAGAGGAAAATGTTGCTCTGAAAGGGTTATCTTGGCACTAATGATTGACATTGGATGATTTTAATTTTGAAATGTCTGTCACCATAAAGGAAAAACCTAACACCGAAAGTTCAAGCTTCTAGTTCTCTGTAATGTGGAGGAAGACAAAAATGTTGTACAAGCGTGGGTTAAGTAATGCACGGAACCAAAATAATTGGATGTTTTTGTGCTAATACAAATTATCATGATTGTATGTGAACTGATACTTTTTTTCACTGATGAGGAAGGCTTGCAATAGAAAATGGCACTAATCAACAATATTTCTCAGGACTGCATTTCCACTGATGCCAACCACAAGAAGCAGCCTTAAACTTCAGATCCCTCAGTGCCTGATTGGATTCTTCTTTATGTTCTGACACATGAAAATAACATGGCACTTTTTTCTGAATAACATAATTCATAAGGTGAACACTGGTTTTCTTCATATAGCCGTGCTTTCAGTATTTGGGGACAGTGTAGCCCATTCTCATCTCACAGGACTGTTCCATCACAATCCAAGAGATAAGGCACCCCTCTGGACCCAGCACACCGAATCCTGGAAAATTCTGGAGGCAGCGTTCAATATATTTCAAGCTCCTATCATTTTTCCCAAATGTCCACTGTTCATTCACAAGCCCTGCATGGGAGGGATCCAAGGAAATGTTCTGAAAGCTTCCTTTCCTGTCAAGAAAAGAAAATGTGCATTTATTCAGCCAACATTTACAAAACACCAGGATTGTAGAAAATGAATATGACACCAATCCTTTCCTTGAGGATCCCACAGCCTAGAAGAGGAAACAGGTGGACAAAAAACTAATTCTTTGTCCCCTTGAAAATGTTCCCAAATAATTAAAAGGGCTATCACCCTATGTACTTAATGATACATTTCATAACAGAGAGTTAGTATCATATAGTACAGTACATCTCAGAAAAGTCTAACCATTTATCCCAAGGAAGAAGGTAAGCATATGTCTTAAAAGAGGAAGGCTATAGATACACCAGAGCAGTCCTCAATTTTGTTCGAAGATGCATGTGTGAAATATGTAGTTTGAATTCTCTCCCACAAAATATCTAAAGACACAAGGTAATACTTCTTTCAACAGATATTTCCAAAAAATGTGTATCACCGGAAGATGAGAGCCATGTTGATCTTAAGCTTCATGTGTCCCAAAGCCCATCACCACATACCTCTAGGAAAGTACCAAAAATGAAATTTAACAAGCACCAATACAGGAAAAGAATATCAGATTTTTTGGTGATAACAATAGGATTTCATCCTGAGTCTCTCACTGGACAAGTTATCTGAGACTGAGTCTTCTCATCTGCAAAATCAGAATCACATCCTCTGTGGGTAGGGGAGGTTGGGACAGATGGAAGAGCCCAAAGAAGTTTCAACTATCTGCCCCCGGGAGAAAGAGTTTTCAGGAATTCATCAGTTTTAAGGTCACTTTATGTCTGCCAGTAAGTGGGGTTGCTGCACACTAAATTGTCCACACATGGGTGGGGCCTTCTTTTCTCTCTGCCTGCCTGACCTTTCCTGGCCCTGCTTCTTCAGAGATCTCAAGCATCTCACCTGACCTTGTCTTGTGGCAGAGCCAAACTGAGGCTGGCAAGATATCAAGATATGCATTTGGGTTTAGAGGAAAGAAAGATCACCTTAGGGCAGGTACTCCATTCCAGATTTTCAGAGTTATAGTATTATTGACTCCCCATTTACCACTTTTCCCTATGCATATGTTTCTTCTAAGATTCTCATGGGAACACAGCTGGGCCACAGCAAGATTTGAATATTGTTGGCTCTCCTGGCTAAATTAGTTGCATGTGTGAGCATATGTTTCGATTTTATTTTATTTTTTGAATTAGCAATATAATTATAGAGCATAAATGGATATTAATGAAAAATAATTCTTTCTTTTTTCTTTGATCTCCTATTATCCAGTTACCTTCTCTAAAGTCTACCAGGAATGCAATATATTTATGTAACCTTCCAGAGGTGTTTGATGCAATTTAAGATGTTTACATACTATGATAGCATACTGTATATATTATTCTATTTTATTTGTTGTGTTTTTTACTTAGCATTATATTTTGGAATTCTTTCCATATTAGTTCCTATAGAGCTGATTCCTTCTTGTTAATGGCTGCATATTATTCCTTTGTCTGGATTATACCATAAGGAATTGACCTGCATTCCTATTGATGGACACTTTGGTTGTTTCTACGTTATGCTATCACATATTGATTTTATCAAAGTCTTGGGGTGCCTGCATGGCTCAGTCAGTTAAGCATCCGATTTCAGCTCAGGTCATCACCTCTCAGGTTCATGAGTTCAAGCCCTGCATTGGGCTCTGTGCTGACAGCTCAGAGCCTGGAGCCTGCTTCGGATTCTGTCTCCCTCTCTCTCTCTGCCCCTCCCCTGCTCACACTCTCCCTGGCTCTCAAAATGAATAAACATTAAAAAAATTTTTAAATAAATGTATCAAAGTCTTAAAATCCAATTTGAGAATATCTTCCATTTAATATACATATTATGTTACCCAACAATTCCAACTCCAGGATTTATCTTTCAGAAATATTTATACAACTTGTGCAATGATCTGTTTACGACGACATTTCTTGTAGAATTTTTGTTATTAGGAAGAACTGGAGATAAATCAAAAGTGTGTTAATATGGGAATACATAATTGTGCATCTCCCTCTTATGGAAATCTATGCAGCTGCCAAAATACATGAAGATACCCATATGAGCTTACATGAAAGGTTTATATAACCTATTGAATGAGAAAGGTTGCAGTACAATAATTTCCTATGTTGTAAAAACAAAAGAAAAAGGAAGACAACAAAACCAATTCATACACACAAAGTACTAAAAGCATACACACTAATATTAAGAATATTTACACCTGGGGGCGCCTGGGTGGCTCAGTCAGTTAAGCATCTGACTTCGGCTCAGGTCATGATCTCATAGTTCATGAGTTCAAGTCCCATGTTGGGCTCTGCACTGACACTGCAGAGCCTTCTTGGAATTCTCTCTCTTTACCTCTCTCTCTGCCCATCCCTGTTCTTGCTCACTCTCTCAAAATAAATAAATAAACTTAAAGAAAAAATTTACACCTGAAAGAAAGATTGCGGAGAATCTAAGTGGGCAAACTTTCGCTTTTTACTTTGAATGCTTGTATACTTGGTATAGCATGCAGTATTTTTTTAATGTTTATTTATTATTTTTGAGAGAGGGAGAGAGACAGAGACAGAGAGACAGAGCACAAGCGGGGGAGGGGCAGAGAAAGGGAGACACAGAATCTGAAGCAGGCTCCAGGCTCCAAGCTGTCAGCACACAGCCCAACACTGGGCTTGAACCCATGAACCTGAACCAAAGTCTGATGCCTAACTGACTGAGCCACCCAGGCACCCCTAGCATGTAGTATTTTTGCAAGAAATTGAAAATAATCTCAGTAAAGATTCTCTATGTCACCATGATGTCCTGTACCCTCCCAGGAAGGCTCCAAGTGAGTTAAATATATATATGGAAATAACCTCATCTAATGAAGACCCTGCCCATGCTCAGCAAACCTCAGCTAATATAGTTCCCTCCCTTTACCCCTACAACTGTGTACCCCATAATTTAGTCTCAAATCTTGCCTTTCCAAGTCTGGCCCTTACGACAACTCAATGATTTCTTATCAGGACTTTGGGAAGCAAAAGGCAAAATCTCACTTGGTATCGTCATCCACTTTGGGCATTTTAAATGACTCCATCACATCCACCTGGTCATCATTGGGTTCCACCGGCATTTCTGTCATAATGAGTATCGTCTTCACGTAATCCACCCGCACTGATTTTGAAGCCGAAATCTTTCTTATTGCCTCTTGAAAGCTCTCTTGGCAACCTGGAGAGAAGAGAAAGACAGCCACTGTCTGCCCCCTTCCACATCTGCTGTGAATGAACCAGAGGTCTTGGCTTCTTAACTCAGATCAGTTACCTTGGATCTGGAAGACTTGGTCCCAATTGATGAGCTGGGGCTGTGCCAGGACTTCCTCTAACTTGTCAGGAGCTTTGGTGAAGATTTGGTAAGTGTTGGTATAATGATCCAGGTCATCCTGCATCTCCTGATACAACAAACGGTCAACCTTATTTACACAGCAGTACAATTTACAAAATGCTCTTGCATATGCCTGGAGCGCTGCAGACTCCGTTGTTTGATACCCTCTGTTTTTCCCAGAGGTGTGGGCAGAAAATGGCCTTGGAATCCCTTGAGAAATAAATCACTATTCACAGATTTATGCTGGTCGCTTTTGGATGATACCCTGAAGGCACCTGCTCTTGGGACGGTGCTTAAGGACCTTTCTTGCCTGGGATGGGAGGTGCACCAGCAGGGTGTGTTAAGGGTCTAAAAGAGAGAGTGTCTACCTTATAGGGAGAAATAATGGGAACAGGGTTGGAGTCAAGACTGTGGGTCTGTGAGAAAGCCATGCCTAGGCTAATTCTGACTCAGCACTCTGGTGCTAGCATGGTGACTGGCCCTTGCTGTGCAAGTGAACAGAGAGGACTTTTAGAAAGGGCCATCACAGCGGGTTCACAGCGACACCTGGAGGGGAGAGCCCAGTCTCTCACTGCCCTGCATTCTTGCTCACCTTCTGCAGCAGATACTCCCCTGGGGGTTTTTACAGGTAAGGTTGGGTTCTAATTCTCCTGATAACTATGTAAATGGAGAAGTGTGGGAGGAGTGGTTAAAATATCTGGGATATTTTTTTTAAATTTTTAAATTTAAAAAAAAAATTTTTTTTGAGAGAGACAGTGATAGAACTTGAGCGGGGCAGAGGCAGAGAGAGAGGGAGACACAGAATCTGAAACAGGCTCCAGGCTCTGAGCTGTCAGCACAGAGCCTGACACAGGGCTTGAACCCATGAACTGTGAGATCATGACCTGAGCTGAAGTTGGATGCCCAACTGACTGAGCCCCCCAGGCGCCGCTAAAATTTTTTTTAATGTTTATTTTTGAGACACAGAGAGACAGAGCATGAACGGGGGAGGGTCAGAGAGAGGGAGACACAGAATCTGAAGCAGGCTCCAGGCTCCAAGCTGTCAGCACAGAGCCCCACACGGGGCTCGAATTCACAGACTGCGAGATCACGACCTGAGCCGAAGTTGGATGCTTAACCGACTGAGCCACCCAGGCACCCCTATCTGGGATATTTTAACTCTGGGATGGAAGGGATTCAATACTTATACTCCCCAAATCTGAAAGATGGGAAAGACATTTTTACATTTTTATTAAACAGACAGTTGGCTCTACAACACAAGTTTGAACTGCAATTTTTTTTTTTAATTCGATAAGTGTATTTTCCTTATGATTTTAAGGACATTTTCTTTTGTCTAGCTTACTTTGTTGTAACAATACAGTATATAATACATGTAACATACAAAATATGTGTTAATAGACTATGCTATCATAAAGTCTTCTAGTCAACAGTAGTCTATTAATAGTTAAGTTTTAGAGGAAGTCAAGAAATATATGCAGATTTTTGACTGAGTGGGGGCTGGCGCCCCTAACATCTGCATTGTTCAAGGGTCAACTGTACATGATGTATCTGTAGTTTAACAATACTCTGACATAGTAATTTCTGTCAACTTCACTTTTTATAGTGAAGAAAGCAGCAGTCTTTCCACGCTCACACAACTTGACAGATTTAGATCTCAAACCCAGTACTGATTCAAATGTTATTGGATTATGTTCATTCAGATCCAAGGAAAACAAAACATTTCCTAACCATTTCCAGCCACAAACATCTTGAGGTATATGCCTGTGATTAGAATCTCAATGGAAAAGAAATGACCAGGGGCACCTGCATGGCTCAGTTGGTTGAGCAACCAACTCTTGATTTCAGCTCAAGTCATGATCTCACACTTTGCAAGACTGAGCCCCAAGTCTGGCACCTCTATGAGTGTGGAGCCTGCTTTAGAACTCTCTCTTCCCTCTCTCTGTCTCTCTGTCTCTCTCTCTCCCTCTGCCCTTCTCCCATGTGCTCACTCACTCTAAATAATATAATATAATATAATATAATATAATATAATATAATATAATAATTGACCAGATGGGATCCCAATGTTATTAATAAGCCCTGTATCACTGGCCATTTGGTTTACACCCATGCCTTATTTCACTGCCCCCTCTCCCATCCAAGCAGCCATTCCAAAATCTATATGTATCGGGGATGCCAAGGTTCTCAGCTTCAGTCCCCTCATTTACACACAGAGAACATCCTGAACATGACTGGCTTGGCATTCAGTAACTAATGCTCTTACCTCTCGCTGAGGCCGAGTAATGACTATCTGATAATCTGGCCAGGCATCCACCAGCACCTCCATGTTGAATGGATTTTTATTTTTAATGTTGAAAACGGCACCATATACCTACAAGAGCAACAGATCAAAACAGGAGGAGATGAAGTTTTTCTCTGAGGTAGGGTCTTGTAGGTGGTATGGGCAATAAAGCCAGGAGACAGGAAAACTTGACAAGATCAATCCAGTGCTTTCGGGATGGCTCACTGAACTATCCATCAGGAAGTATGCTGCAAAAAAGCCCAGGAAAGGTCCACAAAAATCTAAGTTAATCAGTGAATCATTAGGAAATGGTTCGTCTGACATTTTTTCATTCATTTTTTTAAAATTCATACCATCTTTTTCATTTCATACTATACCATTTTTGGCACATATTATGTGTCAGATTTGTGTCAAGTGTGGAAAATCCAAAGGTGAGTATGATATGGCCACTGCCTTCAAGTTTACAAGGATGGGGAAGTATATAGTTTGATCATAATAAGACACATATTCTGATAGATGCATGCATATGGTTGTGTGGGATCTCAGAGAAGAAAGTCACTACCTCTCTAGGAGTGGTAGGAAACTTACAGATAAGGTAATATTTGAATTCGGTCTTCAGAGATAAGTAAAATATTTTCCTGGCAAAGCAGAGAAGAAAGGCAAGTAATTCCAGGTGAGAGAAAAGCATGCATGAGTGCTTGAAGTTGTGGCAGATTATATCATCCCTGATGAGCTTTGAGGGCTCGGTGATTGTAGCATGTGGTATATGGAAGAGACATGTTGGGAGATTAAGCGGAAGAGTCTGGGACATTTTGTGATAAACCTCAGAATTAAGGAGTGTGGACTTTTGTGCCTTGGACATGGATCACTACTGAAAGTTTAAAACAAGGGAGTGGTATGATCATATTTGGGTCAGATAGATGACTCCGGTTACCAAGTGTAGGTAAGCTAGTAATATTGTAGAAAGGCAGATATTGTAATAGCCTGGAGCAGATAAGGAATTCCACTAGAGATAGCAGTAGAATGGATTCAAACAATGTATAAAAGAGGAGAAGGAGAAGGAGTAAAGTAGGTGTCTGGATATGGGTATTAAGATCATCCTTGCCAAAGGAGTCTGACTTTAGACTTGTATTTCCATCTGCCTGGAAGGTTCTGAGCCCTGAACCTATATTCCCACACTTTACCCCTCTCTTCCAGATTTCTTCCTACTCTCTCACCTTCAAGGACTCAGGGATGCTCTTTTCCAGGGATTCATACAGAATATGCAGCTTCTGGGATTCATGAAGCACAAACATATTGTATAGCACCTGAGCCTCCTTCTCCCAGGAAGATGACCTAAGGAAACAAACATACAAACAAAAATACCTGGAAAGATGAGACAGGTGTCCAGCAAGAGGAGAAAGGAAAAATCACCTAGGACATCATACACTGCCAAAAATAAAGGGCTTTAGAAATTTTCAAGTCCAAACCTTTCATTTTGCAAGTGAGAAACTAAAGCCTGGAACTGCAGCTAGACTCAGGGTTCATTGGTGATCTTTCTACAATTCCATGGAAAGTACCGTAACATATTTGGTGAAACAAATATGATTTGAGAGAGATTTGATTTTATTTGATTTGATTCAAATCAGGCCAAGAATCTGAGGAGCAAATGTCTTCAGCTGTCCAGATACAAATGAAGAACAACGAATCTTTTCAGAAAAACTATCTCAAGGGACCCTGAGATCCCTGGGCATTGAAACACTTGTGCAAATGTTGTCATAGGATCAGTAGTATTTTCAGACCTCATGAAAGAATGCAATCTTCCGGGAAAGGTCCTAGAGACTATATTGAGTATAGTCACTTTTTCCTACGGAACAAAATCATAGGAAGGAAAAAATTGTTGATCAGGAATGAAATTACCCAAGTATAAACTGGCAAAATCTAGAAACTGGAATTATACCCTAGCAATCTTAAAAATAGAGCAAACCCTTTTATTCAACAATTCTGCTTTTAGAAACTCATCCCAAGGAAGCGATAACAGATATCTATAGATATGTAAATATAAGGAAATTCACTGCAGTATTATGATACTATAAATTTAGAAATTATCCCAAAATGGGGTGTTTTCTGTCTCAGAAAAACATGTGACTGTTGATCTCGGAATCATGAGTTCATACCCTATGTTGGGTGTAGAGATTACTTAAATAAGCAAAACTTTAAAAAATAGAAATGATCCAAATCCATTATAGAGGAATGCTTAAGTTAACGATGGCATATCTAAATTATGGATCACTGGACAGACATGAAAGTAATGTCTACAAAGTGTGTTTAATGACAGAGGAAAAAGTCTGTGTTAGAAAGTCAGGAAAATATCTAATATAATACCATGTGGGTAATATAAAGATGGATAGGTAAAATGGTTAGCCATGTATGTGTATGTGTGTGTATATTCACCTCGAAGTCTTTCTGAAATAAAGTAGTATATAAATAAGATACACATAGGAATTTTTTTCCATTCTTATACCCATGAATATGTATATATATTTATATTACATATACCCGATTGAAGTATATATGATACTTAAAGACATTTATAAGAGTAACCATATTTTCTAAAAACTAACAAAAACAAGAAACTCAGAGCAATTTTGATGGCTGATAGAGGAGCCATCATTTTTTTTTAAAATCATAACTATCCTGGAAAATCTAGCACCTGTCATATGGTATTGGTGTATGTAGCCAAAATCAAACCAAAAGGAAGTACAGTGATTAAGAACATGGTCTTTGGAGTCAAACAGACCAGGACCCAAACCTTGGCTCCTCTACTTACTAGCTGGGTCACTTTAGGTAGATTACTTTACTTGAAACTCTCTGAGATTTACTTTCTTCATCTATAAAATGGGGATAATCATACCTACTTTGTGGGTTGTCCTAAGGATGACATCGTGAAATGTATATGTATATGAAGGGCTTAGTGTTCTGTTGGATGGTGTACACATGTGCTTCTGAGGGAAATTGTGAAGACCTGCAAACCCAATCAAGGGGACCATTCTATTGGACAGGAGCATAACCAAACAAAGTTTCAAATATGGCACTAAATATAAGTTGTCTAAGTAAATCTGTTAGCACAAAAACAAAACAAAAGACATCTTGAGGCAAATCACAGCTCTAGAACAAGCCAGTATATTTCTGGCCCTGTCTAGGACAATGGACATACTAACCAAATGGCAGATTATTCTGCTCATTCTTCAGGCCTTTTGTAGCAAATTTCCCCAGAAGAGTGTAATCTCCTTGGAAAGTAGGACCATCTCTTATTCTTCCTTACAGTTCAAGCATCAAGCACAGCACTTGGCATAGTATAGCCACCAATGAACTTTTTGTTCAGTGAATGAATGGAATCAGTGAGGCATAGAGAGGGGACTCTTGGGATATTTTTTGGGGAAGACTGAGCAACAATTTTCTTCACTCTCCAAGCTTTCAACTCCAGCTCTGAAGACAATGTGGCTGCTAATGGAAGCTTTCAAATAAAGAAGAAAATGTTCAATGATGAGTTGGTTTTAGTACCTTATGTCAGATATATAAGATGTAGGGGGATGCATTAAGAAGGGATGGGAGAATGGTTGTGCATAACTTCTGTTCCCTGCTGCCACATCCCATCATTCACAGCACATGCTCTCCCATTTCTGTGCCATGTTACAGCCAAGTGCCCTTCAGGGCAAGACCCTTGCTTGGCTCCCACCAGTTGGAGACATCTATTTCCAGTTCACTCTGGGGCCTCCAGGTGATAAAATCCTTCTGACTTAACCTAATCCAATAGACACTCTGTTATGATCATCCATAAAAATATGTAGAAGAACATAGATGTGTAATGAAACTAGGAAGGTTCCAACAGAGGAGATTGGGGGAAAGTGGCCAAAGAAGAGTGTGAAAAATAAGATGAGCGGCATCTCAGAAGTCAAAATAGGAGAAAATTTATTTAAAGGTGGGAGTGATTAGAAGAGTCAAATGCTGCTGGGAAACTAAGAGATGACTACTAAAAATGCCACTGCAATATGGAGTTGGGAATTGATTACTGATCTGGAGAGAGATAGACCAGGAAATGATGGAGAAGAAATCAGGTGAAGAGAATTAGAGACTAAATGAACCATGAGGAAGTGAAGATAAGTCTTTAAAGAGCTTGGCCACAAAAGGAAGGAGAGGAATACAGGAGTATAGAGGGAGGAAGGAGACTGTGGGAGCTCAAAGGAAGACATTTCTTATTAGATGAGAGTGGTAAGCATATTTATGCTAACTACAGAAATCCAGGTATGATGGAGAGTAACTGGATAGGCCCATGGATAAAACAGGAGGTGGGAAGAGGAAAGAAAAATAGCTAAATCCACTGACCAGGCACTGTTCCAAATCCTTTGTGTTTATTAGTTCATCTAATTTGTAACCTTATCTCTAAGAGTAGGTGTTGGGATTAGTTTTGGGTGGGAAGAATACCTCTTCCACTGAGGTGGAAGAGAAAGCTTTTAGTTCAGGCGTATGCATGTGCATGTGTATGCATGTACTTGGGGCGAGACAAAAGAGCAGGAAGGTGACAAGTTATCTTTGTCCATCTTCTGGAAGAAATAGAATGACAAGTCTTTCTTTGGAAGTGAGTAAGGTGGGAGAGTGCGCCAGGAAAGCATAGAGAAAAAATAGTAAGTTTTTATGGGAAATGATTAGGGATTGAATGGCATCTGATGTTAGCAGGAGAAAGCACAGACAATGAATACATACAGGGATCTCCAGGCATTGCTTTGGACTAGGTGCAGAGGGAAAACCACTATTTGGGAGTGATATTCATCCACACTTATGAGCTCACCACCCAGAGAGTAGAAGCAGAGAAAACAAATTGAAATGAACCAGGCTAGAGCAGAAAATAAATAAATAAATAAATAAATAAATAAATAAAGGAGGCGAAATATTTGAGAACAAGGAAATAAATTTAAATTGTAGGATTTAGAAGAGAGAAGGAAGGAAAGAAGGTAGGATAGAGACCAATCAAGTGGGACAAGATGGAGAGAGCACACTTTATAAGGTCAAAGAATAACAATGGTGACAGGGAAAATGTATGCAGACTACATGAGAGCAGAGTCAGAAATTAGGCTGTCAGAGGTTAGGATTTCAGAGGTAGATTAGTTCTGGATATATGGCTGTTGGCTTCAACTTCAAGTCAATTGAGTAGGAGCCAGTAAGGGACTAGGAGTATCATGTATGATAGGCATCACCATGATGTGGCTGGAGTTTGATGAGAGAAAAGTCAGATGCTAAATGCATCCATGAATGGAGAGAAATTTGACAGAAAGCAACAGGAAAGAGGAAGACTTCATCTTAGCCATCTGGCACAGCCCTCAAAGGTTTTTCTATTCAAATGGACAAGTAACACTTTAGAAGATGGGTTAGAGGCCAGGAGAATGCTGATTCTTGTTGTTAGCATGGTATTTTTGTGGATGTCTGGAGGGTGCAGGGACAGGCACATGTATCAGTAATTTATGGTTCAAGGAAAGCATTTCTACGGCTTACCTGTTCAAAATAACACAACACTAGCATGGCAGATTCTTAAGGTATTTTCCAGGTTCAGAGACCTACAATATTTTCAGGATTTGGTTCTCAACATTGGGACTTGTGAGCGCTCCTTCCAAGGATTTGCATGTGGCAGGGGGCAGGGGGGAGTCAATTAACAAAATACTAATTATTTAGAACCAGGATTCTGATTAATTGAAAGGCTTAGAAAAAAGACTTTGGCTGTCCAAAATAATTCTGCTTACCTGAAGTTTCTTTGTAAACGTGTATACACACCACCTTCTGTCGTTGCTTAGTGTGGCAGTGGAGAGGCTTCCGTAGCTACTAACTTACAGTCATCCACACTAAAACTTGAACTGACTCATGTTGTCACTGGTCAGCATAAAGCTCCAAGAAGCTATGGGTTCCAATAAAGCACACTGGAGGTTCTGTTCTTTGACATGAAGTCAGACGCTTTGTGTGGACCAGAGGAAGACCAGGAATATGTTCTGTATGAGCAATTTCTATGATTATAAGAAGTTTCCCGCTGAAGTTTTTGATTTATATGCTATCACTTATAGCTGATTGGCTATTTCCAAGCAATAATAATGAGGCAACTTTAGAGTTAGCAGAAATGACTCAGCTCCAGCATTATTCAGGTAGTATCATTAGGGCAAACAAAAGGTAGAAAATTTGGCTTCACTGCAAACCTCCTGGTTTAATGTCTTCAACCTGGAAAAGCTAGAATACCCCTGGGCATTTGCTGTTAGTATAAGAACTGAGCTCATACACCTTGTCCTTTGTATTGTTTACAGTGAAAAGG